CCTTGCTGCCCAGACCAGGACACAAAGTACTACAAGAGCATTAAGCCCCACATCATCACCATCCTTGCATGGCTAGGTCTCACACAGGTACAGAACAGCTGGGCCAGGGGAATATTCAGCTTCTTACCCAGAAACCTATTATGCTCAGTCACTCCTCACCTTCCCAAGCAGGGACTAGCACTCCTAAATTCTACAGGCAAAGCGGCCCTCACCTGGTTCAGGGGCAAAATACTTAATGAGCTGAAGCTGCTTAAAGGTGCAGTTCAGTGGGCACACACCTGGCACCTCCCAACAGCATGGGCCAGAGCATCCATGGTGGCTAAAATGCCTAGATCAGCTGGGTGGAGAAGAGTGGCTTTTCCACTGGCACAGTTATGGCTGAATGAGGACAGTGGCTGGATAGAGGGTGGCAAGCTCTGAGCTGGGTGCTTTGGTATTTGACCAGCTTAACCCTCTGCACAGCTCTTTAATACCACCTGCTGGTCTGAACGGCCTGATCCTGCACCAGTGCTCTAACAAGTGCATCAAAATCCACCACCTCACTGGCACCGGTTAGCACCAAGCAGGATTAAGGAGCATTTTGCTGCATCAGGCTAACCACTAACAACAGACTAAAATGATTTGTGAAACTGGACATTTGTACCATAAAACTGTGTATTTTTTTTTATGCAGTGTCTCATTAGTCAATGTGATCTTTAAGTATGTTAGGGATGGGACTTGTTGCCAACAGCACAGACCAGCCAGATTTGAGCTACAGCACAGTTTGTCAGGCTTCATACAAAAAGCTGGTCTGCCCTTCTGTATGAAAAAACCAACAGCACTGAGTAGTTCCTACTGCAGTGCCAAAAATAATAGCAAGCAAGAGAGGAAGCTTACTCAAGTGAGTCTGGAAAACATTTTAACCAGGAATCAAATACAACTGGGTGTTTTTCTTAATGGAGTGCTTAGCTATGTTAGCAAAACTGACGTGACTTCACCACTGTATGTCTATAAAAGCCTAATGTAACAGTATTTTCAGAGGGGATGAAAGACATTTTTAAACCTATGTTGGAAATACTAAATTAACTGTATTTGTAGCAATTGATAAATTTTTTCATCTTATTTCTTCCAGAATATACATGTTTCTACAATCAGCTGACAGAGGGACACAGAACAGCCCTGAACATTATCTACATGCACGCTTTCAGTGCAAGTTGCCTGGGAGTAAGGATGTTAAATTTGCAATCTGCCAGAGTGTTTCACTCTGCTTAAAATTGGCAGCCTCCTGCACAAGTAAAAGTGTGGCAGGCTGGATGAATTGCTCTAGAGGTAAGAACCTATTCCCAGCCTCCACCTTCCAGGGGAAAAACAGGGAGGAGGAGGTCCTCCAGCTGCCCTCATAGCAAGACAATGTAAACCCAGGGACATATCCTGCACTTGCACAGAAAGCCCAGCATTGTGAGACTGCAGAGCTGCAGCATGTGCAACAGCCAGCCGCTCTGCACAGGAAGCAGGCTGCACACATGGCCCCTCAGCTGCTGCTTGGCCAGGACTAACCCCTGTGTCTGTGGACCACCTGCAATCTCAGGGGGTGGAGGGAAAGTCAATCACCATGGCAGGTTTTCACTCTATAGCTGAGGAAGGTAGCTAAGACCTCATTTACCTTCACCAGACATGCACATTTTCAGGACTCTATTCCTTTCACTACTTTAGGTATCTACTTCAAGGAGACTAATCACACCTAGATCCCATAATTCTCTGCTAGCTGTTGAAGGAGCTTTGATTACTTCAGGTGCAGACAGCTATAGTTACTCCAACTGATCCCACCCTGGAAATAACTTCAAAACTCAGGCACACAAAACATGCCAGTAAACTAATGGGCAAGCCTTGAGTTGTCAGGCTGGAGATGACACTTTCCACATAAAGCACTTTGGTTTTGAATTCACCTTGGTGAAAATGTAAAAAATAGTAAGGAAGTGCACAGCTGTGCAACCTCACTGATCGTCTGCAATGATGTGCACAACTGCAGGCAATGTTTGCTGTCATCTCTAGCTCTATTGTCCTCTGCCATCCAGTGAATGAAGTTACTCAGGCACTGGTTTATCTAAATTTAGATGTAACACAGCCCAAGGCTCACATTTAGTAAGATGTGAAAGCCTGGGCTTCCCTATTTCCTGCTTCCCAAAAGCAGTTGTGTTGAAAGCAAGACTGGTACTGAAGAGCTGAGATTAAAATTTAAAATCTGACCTCATGGATATGCTAAATTGGTACAATTTCTTGTCCTAGAAGTCAGCAGTTTGGTTTGGTTTTGATTTTTTTTTTTGGTTGGTTGGTTGGTTGGTTTTTTTTATGGACAAGATAAACTTCTTCACAAAGAGTAAGAAAAATGTTAAGAAAAGTAACATAATTTCCATAAAAAATACTCAAACTCCACTAAAAATACAGTATTTTAATATTGGAACTATGTCCTCTGTTACAAAGAGATTTTGAAGACTGAGTGTACATATTCACAGAAGCAACAAACTAAGGCATATTCTCCATAGCCATGTTCATAAATTAAAGATTTTGAAAAGACATGTGACTTGATCTCATTTAAACCTTGTTAAGATACAGGCAGTAAAAATTTTCAACGTAGTGGACTATCAGTTTATACAATTATCTTGAGTATGAGCTAGATTAATTTCATATCACTGAAACAAATGATTTAGTAAGATCATGAAGCTTAAAGTGCTTATTAGAAACCCAACATTTCAATTACGAAATGTTAAAGATATTACATTCCTTATGTATCAAGTCTGAAAGTACAGTATGTACACAATCTACAGTCTTGACTTTATAAATAGGAAATAATTTATCTATTGGGCTGTTCGGAAATTAATTGCCGATTTCAACCTGTATGTTTGATGTGGCGTATCTCAGCTCAGAACAAAATTTATTAATCAAAATAAAACCCATTAGAATCCACACATTTTTTCCAACAAGAAACAAGCATATTTATTCTGGTTGCATGAAATTCTGGACTTCTGGAGGCGATGAAGTTATCAAAGAGAGTTTCAGCCTCCCCCTAGTTTCTGAAGCTTCTCCCGCACAGCTGTCAAGATGCTTGAGGAAGTGCTAGTCAGTGGCGAGAGGTCTGGTGAGTACGGTGGATGAGGCAGAGTTTCATAGCCCAGATCGTTCAAGCACTGCAGCATTGAAAGTGCAACATGTGGCCGCATGTTATCATGCAGAAAGACTGGACCCTTTCTGTTGACAAGTGCTGGGCGCAGCCGCTGAAGTTTCTGGTGCATTTCATTGATTTGCTGGACGTATTTCTCCGCCGTGAACGTTTCACCTGGATTCAGGAAGCTGTGATGGATTAAACGAGCAGCAGACCACCAGACAGTCAGCATGACCTCCTTTTGGTGCAGATTCGGCTTTGGGAAGTGCTGCAGAGCTTCACTGCGGTCTAACCACTGAGCCGATTGTCACCGGTTATTGTAGAGCATCCATTTCTTGTTGCACATCACAGTACAGTCGAGAAACGGGTCATTCTGGTTGTGAAAAAGAAGCGACGACGACACTTCAAAACAGCGATTTCTGTGATTCTCATTCAATTCGTGCGGCACCCATTTGTCGAGCTTCTTTGACTTTCCAATCTTCTGCAGATGCTCAGAAACAGTTGATATGCTCACCCCAAGTTCTTTTGCAAGTTCTCGAACAGTTGTGTGTCTATCTGCTTCTACCAGAGCCTTCAATTCAATTCATTGTCGTCAATAGCAGAAGGATGTCCGCAACCTTCTTAAACTTCAATATCAAAATCGTCACATTGAAATTTTTGGAACCAACGTCGCACTGTCCGTTCGTGAACACTTCCCTGGCCATATACCTCATTGATGTTTCAAGAAGCTTGTGTTGCATTACGTCCAAGTTGGAACTTGCAGATCTGTCGAAATTGCTGTTTTGACATCTGAACTTCAAACCTCCAAAATTTGTCAAAAACGCAGTTTATATTATAATTTAATTATACAGCATGAAAGCTCATTAAATGAGCTTTTCAAAAATATATAACAGTATGCCAGTCGAGAAGGTACTATTCCTGAAACATATACAATGAAAATCACATTACAAAACAGAAATTAATTTCCAAACAGCCTGATATCTCAAACATGACCAGTAGCTGAAAGGAAACTGAAAGACTATTTTGATTTGGCCAGAAAAAGGAAAAAACAGAACAGTTATGCCATACATACAGAATTCTGTATCCCAAGCGCTGCCATTCTGGCCAATCCCCTTGACTAATTTTCTTTACACCCACTAATGAAGCATCTGCCAGTGTGCTGCCAGGAGAGAATTACAGTATCTCTCTTGGAAAGGATTTGATTGGGTCTCCAGAACTGGCAAGGCTGCTTCTAAGAGAAAACGTAATGATGTATAAGTCCCTTAATTAAACAGAAGAAATACAATGCAATATATTAGTTTGCAGAGCTACAACAGTTCTGAACTAGACTGTCAAACAATAAAAATTTGGACGTTTTTTATTTTAGTTTTTGAACTAACTGTAGTGTTTATAAAAAAGACAAAACTAATTCAAAGGCATCTGCAACAAATTTAAAAGCCTACATCAGCTTTCTTATAAAGCCTGTCCTGGTTCAACTAGGATAGGGTTAAGTTTCCCCAGCAGAGAGAGAGGGGGAAGGGATCTCCAGCCGGGTTATTCATACCATGCTGATGTCAAGTCCACGCGGGAACTTTTTCCTTGGTGGCTTCTGGTGGCGGGAGCACACGCCGGCTTTGTTCCATGACCATTGCAGTATTTCCCTGTATATCGTTTGTCTTGTACACTGTAATTGCTGTTTATTGTTGTTATCATTGCCACTGTTGTTGTTCAGATTGTTTATCACACTGTTGTATTAAATTTCTTCTTATTTTAACCCGGGGTTTGTGCCTCACTTCCAGTCCGACCAGCTGCGGGTAGGGGAGGGGCAACGGCAACAGCAATGTGGTCTCCAGTCCCAGCAGGGATTAAACCACCACAAAGCCCATACCAGTTCCTTTCAATCTGGAGATGCAATATGTTTACTAGTCAAGTCTCTTGCCCTGACAGGAGCTAATCAAACTCTCCAGCTTTCTACCAGTCCTCTGTGACTTTAACACTTTTGCAGCATGTGGTATTACGCTGTGCACAGGTTAAGCCTGTTTCACACAGGACTAATACCAGGTACCTGTGAAATGTTAGTATTGTACATCATAGTACTCTCCACAGCACAAACAGGTTTTCAAAAATCCCCATCAAAGTACATGACAAGTTTTCAAAAATACAAATGACCTTAAAACATGAGATCCAAATGTTCAGGCAATTACAAATCTTTAACTTCGTCTCATTGCTCTTCATTTCTCAGCTGCCATGAAGGGCGATGTTTCATTTTCTTCCCAGTCTTTTCACTGATTTTACAACTGGACTTTGTAATTTTCAGACATGTACAAGAATATACCCACTCACATACAGTAACACGATTACAGTAAAATCAAAAGCCACAAAATAAAATAACAGTGAACATTCTGTAAGTGGAATTTTAACTTTTGGTCAACGTTTCTGCTAGGCTAAAGGCAAAATATGCTGTACAGCATCACTTTAACATCTGCAGGAATAAGGCTCTTGCTTATTTCAGCCTCAGCATAGTGTGTGGTCAGCCTGAACTATGCAATTTCTTAATAGAACAGGTAGACTGGAGATTGTAAAGCTGTATTTCTTCCCTACTTGTATCTATTAGAGATTCTTCCCTTGCAAAACAACATTCACATGAAAAAATTTACTGTGGTGCTGAGAAGAGTTGAAGGCAAACACATGTGTATGGGCAACAAAAGCTGTCAAGGTGACAAACGATTCAACGGACTTTCTTCTCCACCTGCAGCAAGCTTGAGCATTGTTAGCTTTCGAGGGGGATGCTGAGGACTCTTACGAAGGTTGTCATCCATCTGCAGAGAAGTAACGAGAGCCTGATTTGGCAAACATAGAATACAGATTATATGATTAGTCTATTTGACAGGACTGCCATTATTAATGCTGGTTTGAGGTATTTTTTACCCTGTTATTTCAAGCCCAGCCAAAACTGATGCCTTGATTCCTCTCCACTTCCAAATCTTGTGTTAGTGCATATGGTGCATCAAACCCAGGGCAAATAGGTGTGCTTCTGCTCAAATCATTTCATCAAGATTACTGAGGAAAGCAACTTTGCTTTCTTCTAAGAGGTCAAAGTTTCAGTTTTGTACAATAGCCAAATGCTACTAGAAAGCAGATCAAAAGTCAAACTGCTAACATCAATGGATGCCACATTCTGGAGGCACTGTGTGAATTTATATTAGTTACAGATTTCAAAAGTATTTAATAAAAAATCTGTCATAAGACCTTTTCAAAGACAGCTTAAAATTAATCTCTAAATATAAAGACTTTACATTTTAATAAGAAATCAAACTAATGCCCTGTATGTAATGTGGTATCAAAAAGAGTCTAGTTACTACAGAATAAACAGAATCACAGAAGACAACACAGGGGAGATCTCCAGAGGTTGTCTAGTCCATCCCATTTCTTCAACGTAGAGTCAGCTTCACCTAAATCATGCCTCACAAATATCTGTGTAACCTATTCTTTAAAGCTGCCACAGCCACACTTCAATACCACAAAGAGGAGATACAATCAATACCTACTGCTACAGAAGCTGATGATAGTTAAAGATCTGTTTCATACACTGATCTTTTTCAGGAACAAATGCCTTCTATCCTTCTAGTTAGTGTTCTGTCTGCATCAGAAAACTAATTCTTCACAAGCATTTTTCACATAAGTTGCATAGCTTTTGAGTGACAGCCTTAGAAACAAAGAAATAAAAGCTAGATGTAGAACAAGCAAGAGAAAAGTGACTGTAGGTTAGTGACTACAACATTCAGCTGGGAGCAAGGAGAGTTGGCGATTGGTCTTAACTTGCAGGACCATTTCTGAGTTTTGATCAATACATTTGCCTTCTCCTTTGCTAGAAGGTACACTTGCAGAAAAGACACCCTTCTTTTGTTGGTAAGTGCACTTCTAAAACAATGTTCTTTTGATTGTAATAGAAATACTTTTTAGGTACAAGGCTTCATTAATTATTCCCTTCAAATGATGTAATATTCTTCTTGCCTGTCTACACAAAGTAACTCACTAGAGAAGAAGCAATTAAAACAATGTCCATTGCACAGCTGCAATGCAAGAATATCTGTGAACAAGTAACCACAACGAAGCAGGAAAATTAGAGACTGAAGCAAAAGTAACCTTTTCGATCAAGTTGGATTCCTTATTTACAAGCTGTGTGAGTTTCTGCAGATTAGCATCTGCCATATCCTGTCCACCTGGAGAATGGCCTAAAGAGTGAAGGTAGAAGATGAAGAGTGAAAAGGTATTTACAAAAGCTGTTAAATCCTTAAAAAAGAAAAACACATTGGAGAAAAAATTCATGCAATATTTTTATCCTAAGAAGAATTTAAGTGGAAAAGCCATTCCATATGAGAAAAACAGATGTGTGAAGCATGAGCCATAGCACAGATATAGGTACATTTTGCCAATGCTTGACAAGAGTCTAAAACCAAGTATTAACTCTTGCTTTTAATTTTCAATCCTTTCTGCACAACTTTGGAAGTTTCTCTACCTCATTTCCCCACAGCTCTAGCATAAATTACATAAACTTTAATTCTGCTTTGGTTCACAGATGGAATCCTGGAGTCCTATTCCAAACAAGATTATACATGACAAAAAAGGGGAAAGAAACACATCTTACCTGAGACAGTTAACCTGAAGTAGCAAGTTAAAATATCATCACAGAATCGACACAGATTGGGAAGCTGTTTCAAATGCTCTTGTAATTGTACTCTCGGGAAGCACACTTTATAAATCGGTGCAAGGAAACCAAACACAAAGGCATCCAAGGTGGTAGGCCTGAAAACAAAAAACCAAAGTGACTGAGGTAAGACAGCAATACCAATATGACTGTTTTCTGTGTATGTCGAAAACAACTCAGGACAGAACACAGTCAGCTCTTCTGGCATTTCATCTTTTCATATCAATCTGGTAAATGCTTTGTACAGATATCTACTGGTTTCAGCACCTCTGAACTAGAGACATGCCGGCAAGCTTAAACAGTAACTTCAGCCTTAAAATTCAGTCATACTGTCACATACAGTGATGAACAAGCCACTTTAAAACATATTTCTGGCGCTACAAAAGCCAAGCTGAAGGTGTCCAACTTCAGTGACTAAAGGAACAGATCATCCTTTTTAGGACCTGTTGGTGCTATGTTGTTGGCAACATCTACTTCCTGCTCTGTGCACATCCCACAGGAAGAGGAGTGTTCCTGGACCTACATGCTCCTCCCATGAAGGCAGTGGCAACACTGCAGGTTTAAAGCATTTTTCTACATACAAGCTCAGAAGGTGACATTGAGTCAATAGAAAAGCATTCTCTAAAGCTACACTAACTCATCAAGCACCTCACATTTTTATACCAGCTGTGGGCAGCATCTGTCTGACCGTGGAAAAATGAAGGATAAGGGAGACACCGCATTGCTTTAGTTCAAGTATTTCATTAGTGTCCTGTTGCTCATTCAGATTTATCTAAAAAGCAGGGTGTGAGACATGAAACTACTGTGCAGCACTTTTCACATCCTGGCAGGTTGAAAAAAAAAAAAAAAAGTGTTTACAAAGTTATGTGGTACTTGTTTTATTAATCATTAAAAAAAAAGTCACACTCACGTATCTCCAAAGAAAAACTGAGTTGTTCCCAATCTCTTCGACAGGAGATTTAGGCACTCCTTGGCATCTCTGTATATCTGATGAGACACAAGACTGTCTAAGAGCCCTAGGTGTAGCAAGGCTAGTACGCACAGCATCATTCATCATTTGACAGGGTGCTACACTGTTCCAGTTCTTGTCTTTGACAGCACCATGTTACAAATTCTTTTCTACACGACACATACCTGTGCTTCCACTTCAGTGAGACTGTAGAGTGGAGGTCCTCCCCTCGTCAGCAAGATCCTGTTCAGTGCTTCCCTGGACATCTTTCCAGGCAGATACAAACTCAGTGGGAAGGCAATCCTTGAAGCAAACCATGGCTTTGTCACACTGCAGTAATTTTCAGCCTCAACCCAGAAAGTGTGCAGCTGTATCAACACAAGGAAGAATACGACCAAAATTTGCATAAGAACAGCAGACATCTCTTATAAGTTTGATGTGCAAGATCTCTGCCAGAGAAGCAGAAGCACCAGGAATTATTGTAATTTAATCCATAAAGGATTATACTAATTCTTTTAGTGTAGGAGTATATAATTAAGGCATCAGCTACCTTCCACCTAAAGAACAACAGAAGTATTACAGACCTATATACATGTGCATAAAATTACATACATGCTCATGTTTATGTACGTGTATATATATATATACCCACTCACACACACACACACACACACTGCACACAGAAAATACTCAACAAAAAGGTTGAGATGTACAGGATCAGATTTGAACTATCTAGAATTTTTTAATGAAATTTTACATAAATCTTAAAAGAAAATAAATTATGAAATGATGAATTTGAAACCTTGCAGGTCAGCTAAAGAGGCCAGCCTATGACATCATCTGCTCAGAGTATTTTTTCCTGTACAAATGGAAGCCAAAGTCATTCAAGAGATCCAATGTCTGGAGATTTTTATAGCTCTAATGTACGTACACTACATTGGGTGAGGGCATGTGGTCATGTGTTATTTAGAACTGAAAAATGAAACTACTGACGGGTATTTTAATTTCTCAAAAGTTCGAACTGAACAGTTCAAAAGACTTCTACAGTTGTGCACCCTACATCAGACATACCATATCTTACTCAAAGCTTTTTCTAAAGAATCAAATGAAACACAAAGTGGGCAGAACAAGCTGTTTTCAGGATACTGTTTCCCAAAATGCAACTAAAAGATAAAACATTCATAGGTGGCCTTTTAAAATGTCTTTCATAAACTCATTATTATTGTTTCACACCCCACAAACACAGACTTCTTTCCTTTTCAAAAGTTGCTAGGCAGTATGTCCAAAATTGGACTAACACAGCAAATACATTCCAGTCAGGACTATGGCTGAGACTTGAATGCCTCTCATACTGGGCACCTCTTGCAGCGTTCACTTCCAAAATTCGGACCATTATAAAGTATTTCTCAATACTTACCAGAGCAGGAAAAAGTTTCTCTTCAAGTAGTGCAATATATGCAAGTGTATCCGCTCCTTGTTTTGCAGACAATTCATAATCAGCATTATATTTCTATGAATTACAAAGAAAACCAAACACACTACAGATAGTGTTACAAAGAACTTTCCAAAAAGATGATCAATGCAAACCAAAGTTGCTTTAAACTTAACAGCTATCAAGTCAGTAAGTGTAACATTTTGGGGCACAGGAAGCATGTTATCATTAGAGTTTCTTTACTTTTTAGGCCAGCTATGTCAAACCTCCTTGCATCTCCCTTTTCTGCTTTCCCATTCTTAAGATTTTTGGGCCCTCCTATTCCCAAAATAACTCTCGTGTCTCGTTCCCACTGATTCCCAAGCAACTGTCCAGTGATACAGAGGTAATTTTTCAGTACTTAGGGATGCAGCAACACTCTGGCATGTCCCCATCTTTCTCTCTGAAGAAGCATCTGGCACTTAAGCTGCTGTAAGCATAAAAAGGCAAGTGTTCCCTCCTTTTGCTTTTAATTACCATTCTAAAAGTTTAGAAATTGGATGCTAACAATATAAGGGACCAAATGCAGAGCTAAATTAATGCAGTTACAGCTGACTGCGCTTTTAATTCTAACACTGAATCTTTTCAACGTACATTAAAAGGGTTGGTAACTTTTTCAGGGTGAGAGGAGTTTCGCTTTATTAATTTAAAAACAAAAGGTCACTGCTGACCCTTAGATACCTGAAAAGCAAGCACACTACTGTTATATTTTAACTCAAAGAGGGAGGGGTTTCCCAACATTGGGGATTCTTTGGTATTCAAATGGCAATGAAACTTCCGAATTTTAAAACAACTGCCTAAAATCCCACCTCAAATATGCAGTTTTCAGATTCTGTTTTTCTCCCCTCCAAAAGATTTAGTTAAACTAAAACAGCATTCATCAGATAACCATCTTGACTAGGCAGAAACTGAATTTCTAATGTAAAAGCAGAATAATGAGCTGGAGGACCATCTTAGAAATAAAAAGATGATGCCATGCATACTAGACATCTTTACACTTTGTGAAAAGAAAAATCATATAGCTTTATTCTTTGTGAATAAACTACTAAGAGGTCTGCAAAAGGCAAGCAAGAGGGGGACTACACAGTAACATGATGTGCACCAAAAATGCCTGCAGGCATTTTTATGCTAGAAGCTATAGAAAAACTATGTAGATTAAGAACAACGCTGTATGTACCCATTCAAGCAGTTAAAACCACGTTTCCCAAACTGTCCTATCTTAGGTCTCCAAAGCCATAATGATGTTAAAAGTGTAATAATTAAAAGCAGGGTGCTCAGTGGGAAACTGCTCAATTATCGTCAGTTTGTTGTCCTTTTCAATGAACAGTTTTCTCGTGACTATTTAAAAATCTTTCACATAACTGACTATCAAGCTTTAAAACAGCAATCTGTTATCCACCCTTTTGCAATTCTCATGCATGTATGAAAAATAGGAAAGCACTGGGTCTGAATTGAGTTGCAGGTTTTTGAAAGCCTGTATCCATGTATACAGAGGGCATGCAGAGCCACCACAAGACAAAAGAAAACAAATCTTCTGAAGACCTACCTGCTTTCTTAAGAAGTTTAGTATTTTTGCTGGCTGAGAAATAACAATGTCTTCTGATATCAAGACTGGTACATCTCCTAGAAGGCATAAATAATACAGTCAACAATTTATATGGATGAGTTCTAACGTAACCAGAAAGCAATCAGTCATTTCATCTAGTTTCCTTTTCTCCATAGCACTCTCTGATCTTACTAACACACGCACATAAATTAAGCTTTACATATGAGGGGAGTTCTATGAAGTGTATTGTTTCCTTCACTAATAACAATACATTAAAATGGGCCCACATCAAATCAGACTGAAGACAATGTCTTCTGCTAGATACCTGACACTGTGAGAACCAGGCTACTTGTCTGGACTTCAGACGGTCACCTTAAGATGAAAATTCCAGCCCAGTGCAACCCCTGTCAAGCCATTAACCTCTGGGGCTCTCCCTCCTTCTACTCCAATTTTTCTCTGCCCTTCCCCTCCAAATCCATTTGAACCACCAAACACTGGGTCTTCTCCAGCCTTCCTACATCCACTGCATAACCATGAAGTATTCCAGAACCCTTCTGCCAGAAGCTTACTGGTCAGCCTTTACTCAGATTGCTGGATCAAAGACTGTAAAGTGTTAACATCTCTGTAAGGGGGTCTATTTTATAGCACATTCACAACATAACTGCCACAATTAGCCTAACATAATGTGCTGCTAAATACTGCTGAAGAATCAATTATCAGTAACACTGATTTGGATTTTTTAAAAATGGATTTTACATATTTTGAATATGAAGAAAGCCACTGAACTTTTGGCAAGTACATCCAACTAGTTCGCAGTATTTTCTGCTAACAGGAAACAATACACTGAAAAGCAAGAGTCAAAGTTGCAACTTCTGCATGGATACAGTAATGCCTAAACTGATGATGTGCTAAGTGTAAGTAACAGAGTACTTTAACTCTGCCCCGATATTACATCTCTGAAATACACCAAGACAGTAACTTAAACGCTGACCAAACAGATAAGCAGTAAGTATCCAACATGAACAAGTCCCCTCTGATAGATTATCTTCAACTTCTCTGGCAGCTAGGTTTTCAGCCACCCTTTCTAAGTCAACCTCTCTAACTCACACAGTACTAAACATCCCAGTTCTTTGAGGCTCATTCCATTTCCAACTGTACCAGTCCATTAAATTACGTATAATTAAAGAACACTATTTCCATACACAAGTTTAGTTACCATCATTATAAATACGTGATTTGCAAAAAGCTTAAAAACTTGTTTTCACTAAACCATCCATTTAGACTGTCTGACCAACAGGTATGTACTTGGCACCACCACTTTATTGACCGCTGCTTCACCCACAAGGATTTTAATAAATTATCCTTTGAGGCCCTTTATTTTAGTCCCACAAAATCCATCACACTTGATCCTGTAAGGTCATTTATTGATGTATCATAAAGGAGGTAGACTTCACTGGGGCTGGTTACACTCACGATCACAAAACCAAAGCAAACTCAGAAACAATGCAGAAATTGGAACCTGCACTTAGAACGTGACTATGACTAAAATAATAGAAAACACCAAGATGGTACCTTTCGGAGCTCTCCATGAGCTATTTATCATATTCAGTGTTAGGGGAGCACCAGAAAATTTGGCATACGCCTGCAATAAAGATTGAGGGGGAAAAAAATCCAGTCACTATGTGTAAAAGTATAAGATACCACTTAAAGAGATGTTTTAAGCAGCTTTAGTGGTCTAATGCGTTTATCGGAAATGCTGCCCGTTAAGGCCAAGGCCATGCAGTGGCCCCGGGAAGGCACGACGCCCTCGGGAGCGGCAGCAGCCCCCCCGGGCCCCACGGGGGAGGGACGCAACGGTCTACGGCGAGGCGGCTCCCTCTGGGGAAAAAAACCGGGCTCCGCGCCGCCCTGCCAGGCCCCGCCGCGGGCCCAGTCACCGTCGCTTCCCGCCCCGGCCGAAC